TGATGTAGTTCCGCCACTGCCACCATTCATAGCAGCCGCCGCTGCTGCAGCTCTCTCTTGACTAGCTCTTCGCCTCTGCTCCTTGGGGCAGTTGATATATTCATTGGCCCAATCCAATGAACAGGTATAGGCAATATAATGGCCCACCGACATTGTGGCGCCCACATGGGTTATAACACTGTACAGCTTGTAGATGTGCAATTTATTGGCATCGCTCAGTTCACAGCATTTCGAACAGAAACATTGCAGCGTAAACGATGTGGGAATGTAACTGTTGATTTTTTCCATGCCGCCCGAGAAGCGGCTCAACTGGATAATTAATAGACGTGGTAATACCTCATAGGATATTGAACGTATAGCTTCGGTGTAGCCACAACATTGTTCACAACGATATTTATTTTCATTGCGGAAACGTTCACTGGTTATGCAGGAGTTCTGGAAAAAAGAAACAAAAAAGGAATTAGAATCGGTTGAAAAATGGGCTCAAATTACCAAAAAAATAACGAAATTTGAGGGGTACGGTTATACCCAAACATAGACCGATATTGAATATTTTTGTTAGGATGATTTGTTACGCTATGAGAACCCAAAATAACAAATTACAGCAAATTCGTTTGAAAAATGCGCCCATGCTTTGGTTGATATCGTTATATGGGACTTAACCTAAGAAGTTGACCAAAATCGATATTTTTTGGTACGAAGATATACTACCCAAAGATAAACCAAAATACCAAATTACAGTCAAATCGGTTAGAAAGGGTTACCAAAATCCCCTTAATATCGAATATTGGTGGGTACCGTTATATGAAGGCTAACGAAAACTTGAACCGATATTGACAATTTTTAATAGGAAGATATTCAGCACAATTAGTATCCATAATACCAAATTACAGCAAATTCAATTGGAAAATGTGCCCAATCTCCCCAAAATATCGAAATTTGGAAGCTATCGTCGTATGGAGACTAACCAAAAAAGTTGACCAATATTGATAATTTTTCGTAGGAAGATTTGCTACCCAACGAGAATTAAAAATACCAAATTACAGCAAAATCGGTTGAAAAACGTGATCAAAATCCCCTTAATACCGAATATTGGAGGGTACCGTTATATGGAGGCTATGTGAAATTGTGAACCGATATCGATAATTTTTGACAGGAAGATTTTCAACCCAATGAGAATCCATAATACCAATTAGAGCCAATTCGATTGAAAACCCCCTGCCTTAACTTCCCAAAAAAATCGAAATTTATGTGGTACGTTATATGGGGTCAACCCTGAAAAGTTGACCAATATTCATAATTTTTGGTAGGAAGATTTGCTATCCCTTGAGAATCTAAAATACAAATTGCAGCCAAATCGGTTAAAAAATGTGGCAAAAATACGCATAATACCGAATATTGAAGGGTGCCGTTATATGGGGGCTATGCGGAAAACGTGGACCGATATCGATAATTGTTGGTAGGAAGAATTGCTTCCCCATGAGAATACAAAAAAACCAAATTACTGCCAAATCGATTGGGAAAAACGTGGCCAAACTCCAAAAAAATTTTGAAAATATGAGGTACTATTACTTGGGGGCTATACCAAATGTGGACCGATATATCCCATCAAACATCTTAGGTTTAGTAGCGCAAATGTGTATACACAAAGTTCCCAAGCCATGGAATCACAACAACAAACCTGTATAAACGAACTCGGTCTATCCGTATTATATTCGTTGCTCTCGTAACCCGCTTGCGGTACAGGTACAGCAATATCAATCATGGTTTCTTTTTGTTCCGTTATTGTTTCACAGCTAAGACATTTGGTTGTGGACACAGTGATGCCCTCGAAATCATCATTAAAGAAATCCAAACCCAATTCACGGATTTTACTCTCCAAACGTTGTTTGTCCTTGAGCAGAAGGGACACAGCCGTTGTGGAGGTGGTCGACGAACCATCTAATTCATCCGCCGGACCACCACCAATGGTTGAGGTGGAATTTGATGGTGATGTTAGAGCCCCTCCGCCGCCCATCGCTGACGATGATGATGAGGCAGCTGAGGGTGGTGGTGATGTAGATACTCCACCACCACTACCACCTGCCGTTGAATTGAGATCATTCGTATTCAAATAGAAGAGACTATTCGATTGTGGCGTATTTATATTGCCAGCTATTTGGTTATCTTTAAGCGGAGATTGGAGGCGGGAGTTTTTGGAATTTTTTGTTTCATCTTTTCGCTTGGATTTGCGTGAGAAGAACAGCGATGACTTGGAATTTGATGTTAGCGAGCTAAGCGCGGAGGTGACGGAGATGTGGTTGCTGCTGCTATTGTTCAGGCCACTGCTGCCGCTCTGATTGCTGCCGGTGTTGTTGCCCGCCGCCGACAAATTGGAGTGTTTCATAATATCACGTTCAGTATCCTCGGGATTGGAAATATATCTGCAATGTGGAAGGAAGGAAAGGAGAATTATTAGGAGGGAGAGAAAGAAATAATTAGGCTCTGATTGATGGCTTTCCAAACCTACCCATTTAATATCACATCTGGACACTCGGCTATGGCCTTGATTAGAGTTTGATTTGTCTCACGGATGCTGTTCAGCAGACACATAAGAAATTCATGGGCATCCTGTTGTTGATTACCCTCAAATATGCTGCTAACATCTTGGATGGCATGCAGCAGGGTATCGGCATGATAGGGCTCCGTGGATTCACTCATTTCATTGCGATAGAGGCTTTGATATAGCTCGTGTAGCTTCTCGGTTAAGATCTGGTGGCTGCTTTTCTGAGTGACTTGTGTTAGGGCCGACGATGATGCCGAGGAGGGTGTGGTTGCCCCACCTCCGCTTGTTACATTATTAACGCCCGCATACTGTTCCATTGAGGCCAAATCTTTGCTACTCCAACTGCGGGCATTTTCAATGTGCACAGCACTAATGCCACGACCCAGGGAAGACGATTTGGAACGCGCCCGGGCTATATTCTGTTGCAGGGCATTCAAATCCGTTAACAAATGATGCAGATTGTGCAGAAATTGTGGAGCAAAACGCAGCGTATAGACCACCGAATTAAGGTAGCAGGTATTGCCGATGTTGCACAGGGTGCCCATGGTGGGGGCATGATTTATGGCAATGCCGCCGACACCGCTGCCACCATTACCCAGTAAGGCGGCTGCCGCCACCGCTGATGAATTGGAATTGCCAGCAATGCCGCCGGAACCAGCGGTTCCGGTTAGATAATATGGATTGGTCATGTCTTGACTATCATTGGAATCGCTCATAATCATGGGCATTCCGCCGCCGCCGGATGAACTTGAACGGCTTGTTGACATGTAGCCATTACTAACAAGACTGGAACCACCACCACTGCCTCGGCCATCGTTGGCCGTTTGATAGGGACGCTCGTAAAGGGACATTATACGTGGCCGTTTTTTTGAATTCGTAATTCCCTGTTCAATGGGTAGGGGTTTTAGAAAATCACAACCACCACCAGCTACAATGTTCGGTTGTTGTTGTTGGCGTTTTTGTCCCACTGAAGTGACACCAACACCTCCACCACCAGCAATGCCTATAGCAGTGGATGTTGCACGAACGCCACTTGTTGCTGCACTGGCCGCTGCCGCTGCAGCTGCTGCTGCCGCAACAATAACCGCTGCCTGGGCTGTGGCTGTGACACGCCGCGACCTTAAAGTTGTCGGTACACTAAATCCTAGTAGGGCAGCTGTTTGGCTACGTTTACGTTTGCTGGCAGGTTTCTTAACTTCGTTATCGCTCAAGGTCTCAATACGATTCAATGTTGCCGCATCGAGACGGGGGAAAACTGTAAAGAGAGAGAGAGAGAACATAGAAAGAAAAATGAAGACATTGGAGGAAATCAATGAAAAAAAAAAAACAATAATTTGATTAATGAATGAGTGACTCATCCACACATATATGTGCAGCAATATACAAATAGGTATGTGTGGGGTGGAGGTGGCGGGATAGGAGCGGAATTGTGTATGTGGAGTGTTTCTTTTGGTTTGGAAAATAATGAGACAGTTTCACATGTTATTATATAGTGAGGAAAACACACATATTATGGAAATGTGAACGCCTTTGACCTCCAAGTGTTATATGGGGTCTATCCCGAAACTTGAGTCAATAATGATAATTTTTAAAAAAGACTATTTTTGAAGCAATGAATGAATATAAAATACCGGAGAGTAGACCAATCAGGATTCATAACACCCTTTATTTAAAAAAATGTATCCAAGATCCCCGTAATACCGAATATTGTAGGGTACCGTTACATGGGAGCTATGCGAAAACGTGGACCGATATCGATAATTTTTTGTAAGGAGATTTACAACCCAATGAGAACCCAAAGAGAACTCAAAATACTAAATTATAGACAAATCGGTTGAAAAAGGTGCCATAAATATAGAATAATAGGGTTGGCGTAACATGGGGGCTATAACAAAACGTAGCTCTATGTATATAATATTTGGCAAGGAGGTTTTGTATCCAATGAAAACCCAAAATAACAAATTACAGCTAATTCGTTTGGAAAACGTGCCCATGCTCACCAAAATAACGAAATTTGGGACTTACCGCCATATGGTGGCTACCCTAAAAGATGTACCAATATTGATAATTTTTCATACGGAGATATACTACCCAAAGAGAACTCAAAATACAAAATTACAGAAAAATCGGTTGAAAAAGGTGCCATAAATATAGAATAATAGGGGTAGCGTTAGATGGGGCCTATACCAAAACGTGGCCCTGAGTCGATAATTTTTGGCAAGGAGGTTTAGTATCCAATGAGAACCCAAAATAGAAAATTACAGCCAATTCGGTTGAAGAACGTGCCCAAGCACCCCAAAATAACGAATTTTGGGTAATATCGTTAAATGGGGTTACCCTAAAAAGTAGACCAATATTGATAATTTTTCATACGGAGATATACTACCCAAAGAGAACTCAAAATACAAAATTACAGACAAATCGGTTGGAAAAATGCACCCAAACTTCATAAAATTCCGAAATGTGTGTGGTATGGCTATATGGAGTCTATACCAAAACATGGACCGATATTGATAACATTTGGTAGTAAGATTTGACACCCAATGAGAACCCAAAATAAAAAAATACAGCCAATTTGTTTGAATAACGTGCCCAAGCTCCCCAAAATCCCAAATTTGGGAATTACCGTCATATGGTAGCTAAACTAAATTGGTGGAAAAACGTGGCCGTATGTGGGCTACTCCCAAGGTTGATCCAATACTGATCATTTTTAGTAGGACAATTTTTCGACCCAGTGAGAATCCAAAATATATAAAATTGCAGCAAATTCTATTAAAAAATCTTGTCAAATCTGCGAAATAGGGAAATTTGGGAGGTGCCCTTACATGGGGACTATCCTAAAAAATAGGTAGGAATATTTATGGTAGGAATATTTACTATCCAATGAGAACCCAAAATACCAAATTATGGTCAATTCGGTTAAAATTGTGTCCAAAAATATTGAATTGGGCAGGGTACCCTTTATATGGGGGCTAATCGGGAGCTTGGTCGAATTTTGATAATTTTTGGTAATGAGATTTACAATTCAATAAGAAAAGAAAATACTAAAATTACAGCTAGTTCGGTAGAAAATAGTGCCCAAATCTCACAAATGTGAAATTGAAAAAATCCCCACCTATTATATTGACCTGAAAAAATAATTTTAAAAAATGTGCACCTATTATAGGGTTCTCAAAAATATTAAAAAATATACCCAGCTATTGTAGGGTCCTCTGAAAATAGTAAAAAATCTTTTGTTGGACTTTCAAAAAAATACTAAAAAAAAATTTTAAAAATTCATGACGAAATGAGCACACAAAATGTTTGAATTATTATTATTATTTTTTTTATGACAAAATGATGGACCCAAGAGAACCATGCACCACAGCTTTTGAATGACAGCAATTTTTTTGTAAAAGTTAGTTTTTGCAAAATGATTTGAAAATATTTGCTCTGCCTCTTGGTTTGTTAGTAACAACAATAACAAAAAAAAGGACATGTGAAAATTGCCATGTGTATGTATTGATTGATTGATGATCTGGACATCACAGTTAGAATGGACATACCTTCGATAGATATATTTTTTGGTTTTCAAAATTTATTAATATTGTAAACCAATAGCTGTGTTCGATTCAAATTCCAGGCAAACTTTTTTGTCATAGGAAAGAAGTGGTGCTTGGTGGCGTGTAATATTCTAACTGAAATCACTGGAAAAAGAATTGTTTTGGGAATTAAAAAAAAACAACAAAATCCAAATGAATGTTAGTTAAGGCAAAAATGGGGGTTTTAATGAAAATAAGTGAAACAGCGATCCCAAAAAATATTTTTTTTAAATCCTTGCCTATTGTATCGAACTCGAAAAAAGTTTTTGTTTTTTTTTTTTTTAAATCCAAGCCTTTTATATCGAACTCAAAAAATATGAAAATCAGTCTCTGGCTGACAAGGCTGTAGTTCTGGGAGGGGACGATCTACACGGGACTCTAAATGGTATCCGCGATAGTTTAGAGGAGCAAAGTATGGAAATCTTCGACTCATACCGGAAGAGCAATGTGGGGATACGCTTCCGGAGGAACTGCTACTGAATCTCATCCTAACTGATGATGAGCTGGACACGACGGTGATCCCAGCCAAGTCTACACAGGCGGATTGTGGTAGCAAGAATGAAGGAAACGCAGACGCTGTTGACCGACCGACTTTAAGTCTGACTACAACAGGTCCTGTGTCGGCACTTGCCGACAATAAACTTCAGAGGCAATCTGCGACGGATGCGATGTTCGACGATGGGGAATCTGTCGAGACCGCAGCATCGGACAGCGGCTCAAATGTTGGGAAGGCCCGAGAAGTAGCTGATGCGAAACCCCAAAACCCCAAATTCGTGGGGCGAGACGCGAATTTGATTTCGGAGAGGGAGGTTCATCTCACCAAGGGCAAAATATGAGATTCGTATGGAAGTTGGAAAGAAGCTACGCCTTAAGTTAGAACAGCTTAACTTACTTAAAGCTATCGGCTGTGTTGGGGGTACCAGGATACCGCGACATCATGGGTAATGAAAAAGCAGAGAAATTAGCTAGAAGAGGATCTCCATCTACAGATCTAGCAATCGATTGTTCAATCAAACCGCCCATCTGTTAACTTTTTCGGAACTTTGAGACGTTCTTCGACGAACGAGCCAATGAATTGTGTGGCACAGCGAACCTAGGTGCAATGTGTCAAAATCTATCTGGCCGACTATGTCAACCAAGAGAACCAACTCACTGTTGAACCTGTTGAAGGCTGTGGAATTGATAAAAAGTCTGGATGCAGCCATCAAATTCTGTAATATCAAATCTGAGGTCGTCCTCGAGTGTAGAGCAGTTTTGGAAACACTCACTTACAGCTATCGGCTGTGTTGGGTACCAGGATATCGTGACATCATGGGTAATGAAAAAGCAGACGAATTAGCTAGAGGAGGATTACAATCTACAGATCTAGCAAACTACCAATTTGTCGGAACTTTTAGTCGTTCTTCGACTAACGACCCAATGAACTGTGGCACAGCAAACCTATGTGCAATGTGTCAAAATCTGTCTGGCCGACTCTGTCAACCGAGAGAACAAACTCACTGTTGAACCTTCTTTCCCCCCTTCCCCCCTTTTATGCCCTCCACCTTCTGTTTCGACCTTTTTTTTAAAAATCCGCACCTAGTATAGGTTCTCTAAATAATTTGGTTAAAATCTCCCCTTAAAAATATATATATTTTTAAACCAATTTATATGGTTCTGAATATGTTGATGTTGTGACGTTATGTGTATGTGCGTGTGTGTGTGTCAAACGCAGAAATCGCTCTGCGCATTACCTCTTTTCCTTATTGGGTCTTCCGTATCCTGTTTATTACCACCACCCAATTCTGGTGTTTGTTGATTCTTGGCAATATCACGTTGGTGTACCAGAGATTTTTCTAAACTTGTCTCTAAAGTTTTGTGATTTTTTTGTGTCTGTTGTTGTTGCTGTTGTTCCTGCTGTGTTTTCTGTGTGTGATCGTTGGCAGGAGTTGGTGGAGGAGCTTTTCTTGTCCTTAGACTATCTAAACGGGCTTTAACCTCGTGTGGTTGATGGAATTTGCGTCGTTGACGACGTTTACGTTGTTGTTGCTGTTGCTCTGGCAAGGAAAGCGATTTGTCTTCCGTGCCGCCTGCTGATGTTTCTTGTTTCACTGATGTGTCATCACCACCAGCAGCAGCTGTTGCTGTTGTCGCTTTTGTAACAATTGTTGCCAAAGGATTAGTTTTTGTTGTGGTTGTTGTTGCATTAGTTGTGGAATGTTTTGTTGTTGCTGTTGCAAGTGTTTTGGCGTCGCCACCACTTGTTTTATTGAAATCGCCCGAACCGAAACTTTGGGTTTCTGAGATATCAGTTTCAATAACAATGGGATACAGGGTTGATAAACGGCATTGGTGCTGTTTTTGTTGTTGTTGGCTGGTTGAGGCAGCTGTTGTTGTTGTAATTGATGAAATTGTTGTCGCTGTATCTTCCTTTTCGTCGTCTTCTTCTTTTGCTGTATTACGACATAAATCTATGTTGGAAGTTTTTTCCTCGACAGTTCCAAGACTAACGTCGTCGTCTTCGTGGTCGTTCTTGTTGTTGTCTACTCCCTCTTCTTCTTCTTCTTTTGAAGAACTTTTGGAATCTCTTCTTGTTCTTTGATTATTTTGAAAATAGTTTAATATTGTGTTTTGTTGTTGTGATTTTTGTTTTTCTTCTTTGACACTTTTTTGATCCTCCGCAAACCAAATGTTAAGGTTTGACTGATTTGATGACAGTCTGCTGGTTGTGGCCGATGCGGAGGAGGAGGTGGAGAAGCTGTTGCTGCTGGTAAGAGCAGTTGGAGAAGATATCAACGTTGAACCGACTTCGAAGTCTTGTGAATTAATTGTGAATTTACACCTTTCGCTTGTTGTTAGTGGTTGAGGTGTTGTTGTTGTTGTTGTGGAATTAGCATCACAATTGTCATTATCATCATCACCATAACTGGTATTAATGGCTTCTGTTACTATTCTGCTACTAGCATTTCCAGATGCTCTTCGCTTTGCTGCTGCTGTTGTTGCTGCTTGTGTTCTACGTCGTCGTCGCGATTCCTTTTGCTTTGGATTGTGATTATTTGTATCGACGCCGCCGCCGCTACCACTGCTAATGTTTATATTCTTTTTCTTTTTAGTCTTTTTGTTGTTGTTGTTCTTAAGATTTCTTTTCTTGTTATTGTTATTAACGGTTGTTGTTGTTGTTGCTGTTGTCGTTAAAAACTTCACTGATATTGGAAGACAATTTGTTGTATTTTTATTCGCTTTCTTTGCAGCATTTCTGGGCATTTTTTGTAAACCTGAAAGTGAAGGGAGATGGAGAGAGAGAGGTGAGTGGGTTATTAAAATAATTTTGAAACTAAAGTGTGAAAATAAAATGCAAATAAAACAAATAAATGGCAATAGCAAAAAAAAAGATTCCAACTAGATTCAGAAACTGGCATGTGATTAAATTCAATCTGACCAAAGGGATGTTACACAACAATATGGCAACTAGACGGGTCATAGATTCATATTAAAAAAAGATCCAAATTGGCTTGGATTTAAAAAAAATTAACGTTTGAGGTCATAGATTCATATTAAAAAAAAAAAACAAAAAATTGTCTTGGATTTCAAGAAAAAAAAATGTTTCATAGGTGGATGGATTTTTTAAAAATATTTTTAAGGTCCCTAAAAAAATTGGGTAGCGTATGGGATTATAGATACCAAACAACGGCTCTGATTGTCTTTAACATGGCGAAGTCCAGACTTATCTTGGTCCCTCTTTCATCTCACCTAGGGAGCTATTTTCATCACCCGATGAAATAGTGAGCTAATATGTGCCGCGAGTTCACCCATGAGGCGTCGGGTTAGTTGCCCACTCTCGGAAAACCCCTCCTACTATGAAAAAGCAAAGAAAAAGAAAATCAAACCCCCTAATGTTTACGACCCCCGCAAACGTATAAAGGACCAAGATCTGCTAATCTGTACTTGGAATGTGCGCATGTTGTACAGAACAGGCGCAATGTTCGCATTGGCGGATGTTCTCAAGAAGTACAAAACCGAAATGCGATGGAAAGGGACTGGCGTATTCTAGCTGCCATGAAACGAGACATGAATTTGGCTGCGGATTTATGGTCAAAAAGGAGAATAAAAGACTTCGTCTCCAGATTCACTACAGTAGATGAGCGAATTGCTATAATTCGCATAAAAGCGAAGTTCTTATTTGCGTCCACCGAAGACAAAGATGAGCAGACCAAAGACATATTTTACGAGCGCCTAGAAACAGCATATGACTGTTGCCCTGGCCATAACATTAAAATTCGGCTAGAAGATTTTAATGCAAAAATCGGAAGGGAAAATATCTGAGGATGATTGACTTCGCGTCAGCAAAAAACATGGTAGTTAGCAGCACCAGATTAAAACATCTCGATGTACACAAGGCCACATGGATTTCTCATGATCAAGCAAGAGAGAAATAAAATTGATTGTGTTGTGATAGACGTAAGGCATTCATCCAGTGTATTAGACGTTCGATCGATCCGAGGAGCGAATATCGATTCGGACCACTACCTTGTAGTAGCCAAGGTTCGCACTCGTCTTAATGTTGCAGCAAAGGTGCAATGTAATGAAACACGGAAACTCGACATCGAAAATCTGCAAACACAACAACACAACAGGTAGCCGAGGCCTACTCCGCTCAACTTACCCAAATGCTTGACGAAAGCACCCCTTGTCGCGATAATAATATAGAAGCACAGTGGCAGAGAATTGCCCACTCCCTACAAACTGCAGCAATCAATAAATCCGTGGTACGATCAGGAGTGTCGTAATGCTACTGATATGAAAAACGCAGCGTATAGGGCTACCCTGCACCAAATCCTGGAAAAAAACCCACGAAAAACACATCGACACATGCCACCTAATCGTCGACTATAAATCCGCATTCGATAGCCCTATCTGTTTAGAGGCGTTAAAAGCCATGTCTACGTTCGGCATTCCTGCAAAATTAATACGGCTATGCAGGATAACTTTAAGTGGCAGAAGGTCAGAAGTTAAAGTCGGAAAGCATCTAACGGAGCCCTTCAATACCGAACGAGGATTCAGACAAGGTGACAGTTTGTCGTGTGATCTTTTTAACATCCTGCTGGAAAAGGTCATACAAGACGCAAAGGTGAATAGATATGGCACTTTGTACACAAAACAGCATATCTTACTCGCCTACGCCGATAACATCGATATAATGGGTCGAAAACTGAGAGCGGTAACAGCCACCTTTGAACAAATTGAGAAGGAGTCTGCCAAAGTGGGTCTGGAGTTAAACGGCGAGAAGACCAAGCTGATGGTATCAACGCGCAAGACGTCCAGTAGACTCGGACCAACTGTGAAACTTGATTACTACAGCTTCGATGTAGTTAAAGATTTTATATACCTTGGTACCGCCATAAATAAAACGAATGACATCAGTTTTGAAATCCGGAGAAAAGATGCTACTATGGTCCTCCCGCCAGACCAAACTCACACTTTACAAGACGCTGATACAACCTTGCTGTTATATTGATCTGAAGCATGGGTACTTGCGCAAGCAGATGAGGCTGCTTTCTGGACATTTCTAAAAAATATTTTTTTTAAATCGATATAATCAATGGGGTTTTAAAAAATATTTTTGAAGAACCTATAATAGTTAAAAATATTTTTTGAGGGACCTATATACTATACCTATACCTAGCGAATCCCCAAAAAATATTTTTTCCCACAAATTACCCCAAGGTTCTAGGGGTCACATTCGATAGCCTTTACAAGTCGTCCGCGCATGCCACAACTATTTGCGATAAGGTCAGGAACAGGAACAAGGTTCTCAAGTCACTAACCGGCAGTACTTGGGGAGCTGATAAAGAAACCTTGTTGACAACCTACAAAGCAATAGGCCGGTCTGTGGTAAACTATGCGGCTCCAGTGTGGTGGTCCGCCAACGTAAGTGCTACGCAATGGAAAACTATTCAATCCTGCCAAAATGCCGCCCTGAGTACTGCGACAGGATGTCTCCTCATGACTCTGCTGATAGACCACTTACATACGGAGACGAAGATCCTTCCTGTGCGCCATCACAACAGGATGTTGTCGATGCAATATCTGCTTGGATGCTGCAGAAGCAGCCATCCTAACCACCATCTAATGGATAGGCGGCACCCACCGACCAGGCACGTCAGGAAGGATCTTCATGATCTAGAGAGAGAGGTCTAGAGGTATAAAAGAGAGCCTCTAGATAAGGTTGAATCGTATTCACTCGCCACCAATTCACAAAATTTTAAATAATTTTTGGGTCCGCAATGTATTTTTAAAACATCTCCACACCTGTTATTTATATCATTTTAACAATCTGCAATCCTCATTATAGTGTTCCCTCTGTATTTATTCCCAAACGACCCTCCGATTGTTTATCGAAAAAAATGATAAACAAAAATCAAAAGAATTATTGGTATTATACAATATATGTATTTGTTATATACAAATATAATAACATTAAAAAAATTAGCAGCGATAATAAATACTACAACAATAACAATAACCAAAATTAGTCATTGGCAAATAACAAACAGTTATAAAACAAATATTGTATAGTCTTATTTGAATGGCAAGTAAGTAAATAATTGATTTAAAAAAAGATTGTATTATAGCCATAGATATTTGTATATATGTACATATGTTGACTTTCAAATAATTTAAATTAAATTGATTCTAGATATTTGGAAACGATAGAGGGAAGTGAAGATAATCAAAAAAAAATATCTGATGCAAATTTGGATTTTTAAAAAAGTTTTTTTTTATGTTGACATAATAGAAGGGAATTTTTTTAAAAATATTTGTTGAAATGGAATTTTTTAGAAATATACCCTAGGAGTGGTAGCAATCTATGTGTAACATTTCGAAGCTTTATCTCCTTAGTGATTTTAATAGATCGTCCGGGCATGACTTAAATCGACATCAAATATTTTTTCTGATCATGAATAAAATATGCACCTCTAATTTGAGAACCCCCTATTTCATCAAATTATTCAACGAATCTAAATTAAATGCATTAAGTTGTCAAAAACTAAATTACATTGACATTATCATAACAATAGCTGTCAATCACTCTTCCGTTGTATTTTTCGATCAATATTTTATCGATTTTTAGTCACTGTGATTTAATTGATGATATCGACGGTCATACAAGCCAATGTCTCCTAATTTTATTGCACATTTTGCTGACTGCCCTTCAAGTGGGAGAAAAAATAAATAAATTAAAATAAAAAAAACAACAATGACAATAAACGTCTTGTTAGCTAGAGAGAGAGAGAGAGAGAGAGAGAGAGGTAGACTTGCAATGCCACCAATCATTAGCAAATTCTAGTT